TTCCCCGTTAAGTTGTTATGAATAGTTGGAAATAAATTCGCTGCTGTTTCAGAGCTTGGAAATTGTAACAATTCAGATATTCGCTTTAACACGTTAAAATAAAAAATGGAAGCCGTTAGACTTACTTGCGAGTGGAAGTGTAAATACAGAAAAATAAAAGAAGCAATTTGAGGATTTTAACCCTCTCGCCATCATCTGTGGTGTATGCCAAAAGCTCCTATTGCCAAACTATCAAAGGTTGTTGTGTTGAGTCACCGTGGCGGACAAACAAGCTTTTGGTGCCGTTACAAGAGATTGACGTGACTAAGGGTACCTGACTGACTAATGGTTAATCTGTTTTCATCGGACGCGCTCACAATTGATTGACAGTCAGTACTACAAACGGCTCAGAAGGAAAATACTGATCGCATTCCATTCATTCTCACATTTCACCCTCACACAACCACGCAGTTAGATATATCATTCTTAAAAACTTGAAATTACTTTAAAACGAATCAGAGACTGGTACTATCTTTTCGTAACCACCACTAATTTCACTCTTTAATCTCCCTAATCATTCTTAGCAGCATATGGCAGTTTGCGACCTTTCTCTACGTCTAGGGAGTTCGGAAAGCCGCAAAACTCTAGAACAAAAATCTCTCATCTGTTGTCAGAAATGACTCAATATGACCCGATATTCCTCGTGTTATCTAAATTAAACAAATAAACAGACATGTTTGATTTCTCCAAAACATCATCATTTGTTTGACGTGATATTTTCTTAGTCTAAAAATAGTTTCTTCTGTATTATGTCACGGCCATCATCTATTATTCTTCTGAACAATTATTTGTAAATGTACGAACAGCAAAAAATGAAGAAATGAGTTCCCTGGCAAAAAAAATGGTAATAGACGTATATTGATATAGCGCCTTAACGCCTACAAAGTAAATAGGTAAGTAAATAAATTAATAAATGATGAAATGATCGAAACGACAGTGAAGTAAGGAAAACGTGGGTAAAATTTCCGCACAGCCCCATACTACATTATGTATTCAGTTCTTGAATAAAGAAAACAATGACAAAAACAATACATTGCCATTGGGAAAACAGACTTGTTTTACAATAGTATGGGGCTGTGCGGAAACTTTACCAAAACGTGGACTAACAAACGAATTAACCACTAAACAATAACAAAACAGTCCTCCTATCTTCCTTGCAAGTTCGTCTCAAGAAATATAAAAATAAAACGCACGATAATTAATAAAACATACTTGTTTCGTTTTACATCCATGGTTCAGACCTTGTCCAAAGCAGTCAAGCGATGAGGCAGTATCCACCTGACCTCCTTGTAGTAAAATAACATAAACTGATTAATCGTCAGTCGTTAAGGCTCCGGATAAAAAATTCTTTCGTCAGAAGTTATTGTCATTCAAAAAAGACAAGTTCTATGTTTTATAGCCCTCAGTTCAAAATTAGTTTTTTGGAAACTGCAATAAAACTGCAAATAGCGAAAGAAAATGAAAGATTTAAAGGTGAGACTTGTTAAATGGTAAACCTTTTCAGTGATCGAAAGATCTCTCTTTTCCTGCCTTCCATCCGCTTTTTCTGAGCACGTGAGGTGGTAATCATCTTCTTTGTGCCCATCTGAAGATTGAGACTGTCTTGTGAGAGGATTTAAAAATACTTCACGTTTAAAGGCTGTGATTTGTAGATTTGATTCATTTGAAGTAAAGGAATGAAAGCATGAAAGAGGCCTGACATCTTAAGATTCAAACAGTCTTGAGAGATGATTAAAAATGCTTCACGTTGAAAGGCTACGTATGATTCATATCAAGTAGGGTTAAGAAACCGTTGAAAGAGGCGTAACTTCTGTCTTGTGAAAGGTTTAAAAATCTTCCATTTTGAACGGTCATGTTTGCTTCCTTTGAAGTTGGGGAAACGAAGCGTGAGAAACGGCCTACTTGCATAGTTTCATAGTGTGAACTGGCGCAGAGTGAAAGCAGCCACAACGGAGCTGCAGTCTGTTGGTTCCACATTGGTATTCACAGGTAGCACATCATTCTTAGGGAATTCATAAAAATGTCACACAATCTCTTTGAAGGAATCATCCAAAGATTATTTGCAAGCCTAATTATAATACGTTGGCACTGCAAATTGTCAGCGTACTTTCACTAGATTTCAACGTCGTCAAAATCACTTGTTCTCCATTTTGCCTACGCTTTTTGTGTAAGGTGTTCTTGGTATCAAGACTTGTTTTTTACATGTATGACCCGAGGGCAATTCAGGATTAATTTCAGGCATGTTTTCAAACGTTACGATTACCAAAAGTCCCCCGTTGTAAAGGAAAAATGCCCTCTGTTTCAGTCAATCAGCATTGAGTAATTTTGCCCCGCTTGTGATAAATAAAGAATAAAACATGGGCTCGTTTAGATATGGAATTTCTCTTCAAGTGTTAAACTCGATAGCTCACGAATGAGTGCAGCGAATGAGCTAGAAGTCGAGACTGTACTGTTTCTCTATACCAAGGTTGGTATTGTTCCAAAAAGTACATTGCGCAAGGAAAACACCATTTTCTAAAACAATCAGTACTTCCAGAACAAGGGCAGTTTTATGTGTCCCTGAATGTGGCAGAAGACACAGTTTTAATTTTCAAACAAATTCTTGATTACCTTAATAAATGTGTATTTGGACAGACTCCTCACAACAGGCCAAAACCATGTGGAGCGACAATATATTGGAATGTCGCTTTATTGGGGTAGACTAAAAACCGTGAGAAAATGCTACAAAGTTTGGCATCTGCAAAGACTACAAATCCGTTTTCAGTCGTTCACTAGCTATAACGTTTATCTTGTTTTTTGTTTTTGTTTGTTTGTTTGTTTCTTTGATCTCGCACTTTTTGCAGTAGAGATCCTCTGGAGTATGATAATTTAAGACTCAAATGGCAGTCATTTTTATTCGCTGAAGGAGAAGACGTTGTCGGAACAAATTAATATTACCCTTCCTCTGTGAAATGGAGTACCAAAAAGTCTTTTTTCAGGTTTTTTTCAACAGAGTCTCATAACAGAAAAAAAATTCTATATTAACTAAAGATGATCTCAGCTCAAATGTTATTTTGGTGAATAAAAAAAATTTAAAAAAAAAAAAAGCACGTCAACTGCCGGACTCATCTTACTTGAACCGTATTTTACTAGATGATTGTGTAGCGTTGTGTTTTGAAAACTGTCTGTTAAACAACATTTTTAGGAAATCGAGACCGTGCCCGGCAGTCTGATCAGAAACTGTTGTCTCGAAGAACCAATTTTGCAGCGCAGAAGTCCCGTCGACAACCAGAGAGAAACTTCTAAAGAATCTCAGATGTTATTTTGGTGAATATTTCTAAGGGGCATTTTTTGTTGCAGTCATGCGCATGTTCTGTAACTTTCGGTTTGATGCAAGAAACCGCTGGTATGCGCCTGCGTCGATTTTCCGCTCAAGAATCGCGAAAGAAAAGAAGCAGAAAAATACGTCGGAAAACAACAATGGATCGAGTATTTGAGACAACTTTTCTCGTCATTTTTCCCTCTGTAACTAAGATGGAAGCGGCAAAGTCTTAAAATTGTTGTGTGGTGTGAGGAAAGAAGTTATTTTCAAAAAGCAAAAGATTGTACAAACGACTTCGAGTCTTGTCTTGTAATTGTTTGGGCGATCGATGTAGATGATGTTATTTGTGAAGGATGCAAGAGGCCTGTCGAGGAGCACTAATAAATTGGATGGTATACTTTTATCGTGTCATTGCTATCTCAAGTTATCGTTGATCATTTGAAGTACTCACTTTCCTGTGAGCGTTTTTTAGAGCTCCATCTATACTGCTATTACAATGTACTTCAATTTTAGCGAAAAATTAAAGTTTACAAAAGTTTATGTTTTGTTTCACAAGTTTTTTTTACGCGAATCACAACCGACGGGGCCGGTTATCAAAACTAAAAAAGGGTTTTTTTTTTGAAAAAACGAAAAGTTTAAGGTCCGAAGCTAATCATATTTTCTCATGCCAACAGTGTATGACTTAAAAATTCTTTTCTGATTCGGGTCGCTGAAGAGTTTTTAACTAACGTTCTGTAATTACATGATGCAAAGAGTGAAGGGGATGCATTATGCACGTGAAACGCCAGGTAACTACCTATGATTTTGGGAAACCTATTTACCTTACATTTCGAGGGGAAAGGAAATTGGGCACAGTTTTTGCCGATTTTCCTCGCCTCATAAAAAAGTTCCTTCTGTGATGCAAATTTTACTACTTCTAATGTAGCCAAGGAGATGTTAAATGCAGATCAATAAAAGCTCGAAGTGGTTATGCCCTTTTAGAAGGTAGGGTTCTAACATGCTAAATTACATCCATATTCTCTAGGCAAGTTAAGAACAGAACAAAATGAATTTTCGATATGGCAAGTTAATTTCTAAAGATTTGGTTTCCGTAGGCCGCATAAATATTTATTGCTTTCATTTTGAAAGGGAAAATTTAGTTGCACATACACAGGAGTTTTTTGAGCTGATTTGAAGAAAGTTGCAAAAGTTGTTTTTCGTTTTCCTTCAAATTGATTGTTTTCTTTAAACAATTAATAGATTGTCGTATTTCCAAAAAGCTTCCTCTTTGACTAGGGAAAAAAATGCGATCTAAAGCAATGGATGGTTCGATTCGTGTACCAATGAGAGTCAATCAGACTCGAAGGATCACCAGTGGGTTCAAAATGGATATAATAATGCTTGAAATTGACCTGAAAACTTGAAAACTTAAGTCGCAGTAATTGCTTAGATAAGTGTTGTTCAAACCAATCACTGTTTTCATCTATGCGGCGATTTTTAATTCTTCTGCTAGCCCGTCTCTCACTCCATTCCCAGTTTGATTCAGATCTATGTTTCCATTTTTATGGCCACCGCATTTAAGTACCTTCTTAAAAACCAGTTTAAACTGCGGATTCATAAAGCCGTAGATAAACGGATTTACCAGACTGCTCGAGAACATCAAGAAAACACTTGCAGTGTAGATCTTTTGATCAACATCAAACCTTGAAGTCCCTGTGACAGCGACGATGGAGACTGGACACCATGTAATGACAAAGAAACAAGCCACAGCAAAGCATGTCTTTAGAACTTTTACGTTAGTATTATTGGAACGGTTAGCGGGGTGATCATTTGAAGTGACGACTCCATTTCCTTTAGCATGCGTGTTTATATTTGCTGTGCTTCCCTTCACAGCTTTGTAGATTTTGAAGTAGCAGTAGAATATTAGAATCATAACTCCGTTCATAAACACTCCCACAACGCCTTGTATGTATGTCTTGGACTCTACGGTGCAAATACCCAGTTTAGTGCGATATGATATCCCCACCCATCCCCCAAGAAAAGGTACGGCGAGAAGAATGGAAACCAGCCAAACGAAAGCGCAGTAAAGCTTAGCTGCCTTTTTACTGGGAAATACTTTTCTGTACAGGGTGGGTTTTACGACTTTGATGTATCGGTTGAACGCTATCAATCCTAGTGTTAATATGGAGGTATGAGCCAATATTGACATTATTGATCCTGTCACCTCACACCACTTTTGACTGAAGATCCAAGTTCCCGCACACAGGCTCGCTATCCAGAATGGCATGTATATTGTGGCCATAGCGATATCAGTCAATGCCAAACTATGAATAAAGGTGTTGGTAACGTTCTGAAGCCTGGAGTCTCTATTAATGACATACACAACGAGCAGGTTACCCAACATGGCTGAGAGGCAAACGAGAATTGCCAAAGAGACTTCGACACCAATTTCAGTTCTGGAGCGCGCAACAGAGTAATGCGAAGGTGGCTGAAACATGTTTTTTCCCTGACGAAGAAAACTGAAATTATAATAACGAACTTTTGAAAAATGCTCCAAACACAGAAAATAAATAACTTACAGTTTTTGTGTAAAGAACGTTAAATGTGCTAGATCTACAGCTAATCAAATTATTTGAAGGAGCCAACCGACATTCAGATCCTAAGGAATGGTCTAATCTCATCTTGTGTGGTGACAGGATGAACTAAATTTTGCTGCAGCTACACCGCACGATTTCAAGAAATCGTCTGCTCTCATCTTGTGAGGTAAGAAGATGAACTAAATTTTGCTGCAGCTTCACCGCACAATTTTCACTCATATTTCTAGTACACACTCACCTTTTATCACACACTCGGGGTATCCGCTGAAGTTTCGATTCGCTATAAGCTTGTCCACGACACCTATGTTTTTGCCTTTCCCTTTTGCTGCAAATAAAAAAGTGGCACCGAAGTAGAACAAATACGATTGAAAGGAAACTAAAGATTTTAACATTTCAAAAACCTGTGGGTGTTCGCCGCCTTTTGAAATAACATCTGAGCATCCGGAAAAAAATAAATGGAAAATATATTAGATACTTATCGTTGAATCCGTTTTGATAATCATGCACTGAGCCCATAGGAATATATGCGATCTGATTGGCTTTGTGATAATTCCCCTTTTCATCAATCGTGGGATTTTTGAGATCTGTTTTACAGAAGTTTTTGTCACTATTGTTCATTTGAAAAATGTAGCAGATTACAAAAGGACAAAAAGTCAAATTAATTAAAAAAAATAATTTTTTTCCATAAAAACTTATATAATAATTATGTCGAAGAATAAACAGCACTGGTTAAAAAAAAAATAAATTAAGGTTATCATCGTGTGATTTTTAATTCAGTATTTAGAGTTACTGTCTCCAATTTTTTTTCCGTTGATGAAGCCGATTAGAGACTTTAGATCAGTTCGGTGTGATTCAGATCAGCGTATAGATTAGGCTAAGTGGCGGGGAAACATTTTAAGACAAAAAAAATATATGATTATACATTTTACCATGAATTGTTTTCCGTAAATCATTCTCACAATTGAACACGAATTTTGTAGAGATGTCTTAATGTCTAATTTTGCAATCTAAATTTAGATTGGAAGACTTTGAGGTGGCTTACTTTTCAGTAATTCTTTAGATAAAACGAGAGCAAATTCAAAGCTCTGTGTAAACAACTCAGCCGCAAATGATGTAAAATGTATTAACACCACAGCGGCATGAACATAAACAACGAGCAAGTTACCGAACATGGCTGTGAGGCAAACAAGAATGGCCATAGTCACTTCCACACCAATTTTAACTCTGGAATGAACAGGAGATGGTGGCGGTGTTATACCCTTTCTGGTCCTTTCCCGCACTCTGAAGAACTCGTTACTGGCAAAAAATCGTCAGCAAATAGGCGTTTCTCATCCTTTAAAACCTTCTTGAAGAAATTGACTCGCGATGGCGGTAACAGCTTAATGGTAATGGATAACAATGAGACAGCTTGACTTGCTTTTAATCTTTTGTTACTTTTTAGGAGTTAAAGAAGTTTAGTTTTTTTCTCAGAGACGGTATCAAATTGAGGAAATAATATCTAAAACTCTTCGAACATAATTTTTGACTTTCGACGTCTTTGGACCACTGTCAAGGCTTCGAAAACTCGGAAGTCACTCGGATCGGTGAGTCATTAGTGCTTAGCATCTCTTTTGAGCGGTTAAAGCTCGAAAGAAGTGTAGTCTTCAATTGCAGCTCATGAAAAAACGCGAGATGTTTTCACATGACAGTAAGAAAAAAAACTTCTCAAGGCTTTTGCTTTATGAATGAACGACAGCCGAATTCACAGAAAAGTAAAGATTGCTCGAGGTGACAGCGCCGTAATACTCGGCTGCTGTGACTGATGTGGCCTTGCACTCAACACATCGGAAAGGATATCAGAGCAAGCTCCTAGTTGTTCACTTGTAGGGCGATGAGCTAGCCGCGATAGACCTCAGACTTAAGGGCATATTTTTGTCCAACCTAAGGATCCTGTCACGAAAGAACAACTAACCGACGCAATTTATTCTATTCCATGCAATGACTGTGATAACGAGTATATCTTACGGACCAAACGTCAGTTTGGTACACGTTTGAAAGAGCATCAAATGCGGTCTTCTTTTGCAAAAAAGAAAATTCAGCTTTATCGGAGCACACATGACTAACCAACCCTACAATTGGGTCGGATAAGTCTCAAATTATCACCACTAATCGGCGTTACCAAGAGTGCTTTTGTTTGGAAGCTTGGCATATCAACTCCGCCCACGCTCCTTTAACTCGAGATGATGGCGGCTTACTTCCTGACGCCTATTTGCACCTCGTCAGAAAAAAGGGCAGCTAATTAGTGAGCGTATAAAATGACCTCAGTGTAGCACCGTTTAGATCACCCCTGATGAAGGCACTAGACAGAAGTGTCGAAACGTTAAGTCTATGAATTGTAACTTCTCGGTTACATTCATTAAATCTTTGAACCAGAGTAGCATCAACACCATGTTTGGTTGTCTACCTGGTTGCCATGTAAACTTCGATATAACTAAGATGTATTACCACCAACAATTTTTATCGGCCAGTGGCTCTTTTCTTTATAAGAAGCATATTAGTATGGCGAGCCTGAAGGCATTATTTAGAAGACAGAGAAAAATAAATGATTAAGCTGTCTTCAGATGTGCACTTAAGTGAGAAAAAGAGAAAAGAAAAGTACTTCTTTTCTTAAAAAAACTTTGGCGGAAACGGCGTGGACCTGAAAGCTCGGGCGGTGGTTATTAAGTGGGCGATCTTAATGAGCCGTTAACCAATTGCAACTTACATGTAAATGAAAGTGATCAAAGTTCTTCTCACGTAGTCTTTCTTGCATCCCTTGTGAAACACATCAACTTATGATTCCGAAGAACTCTTCTGGCTAAGCAAGGTTTGTGGTTTGCATGAAAGTTGTTTTTATCCCGCCTAGACGATCAAATATTCTCGTCCGTCATGTAAGGAGATCATGTTTGGTTGGGGATTGAAAGAGTTAAAATTTTAAGCTAATCTTCAAAGTGCTGAAAGAACCTTAAAACCTGTCGTTGATAGTGGTGCTTTTCATTCTACTGATTACAAGGCAAAGAAAGCGATCTTTATTGAAGCTTTCTTTCACGAACACTCACAGTTGCAACATTACAGCTGCTGTTGCGTGACTCGAGTGTACATAAATATTCCAAGTTCCACTACCGTTTAGTGCTTGTACTTGAACGAAAGCATATTTATATTACCTCTACAAGAATCATATCTTCCGTTAATTACCGATGCTCCCTTTGCTTTCTTATATATTGACTCAACAGAGTTTATGCAATCGCAGTGGCTTAATTTTTTTATGTTGTAATATAGGTTAGGCCATTCCTTTCCAGAAATAGTTCCGGTCTGCTTAATTTCCTTTCCGATTCACTCACTCTCGTAAGCGGGGGTTTTTGAAGTTAAACACGACTGTAATTCGATAAAATGTTATATTTCCTGTCTGAATGGCCAAAAGAGGATAAGCTGTCGAACAAAAACAATAACTTAGCAAGAGAGACGCCAAACTCTTAAAATAGAAATGGCGGGATTAAGTCGCGCTGTTGTTCGGAAGCTTTTTTACGCGGTATTTTAGGAAGTATATGAAAAACGAGTGCGAGGGTTTGATCGTGGTAGCCAAATATCGAGCAACAAATGAAAGCCTGAGGCCGCTTCGGCAGAGTGCTTGTATTTCTTTCGAGATGTTTGGATACCAAACCTAAAGCACGAGTTTTTTAGATTTCTTCTTAAACTGCCTATAGTAATTTACCGCCTAAATCGTAACACTACTGTTACGTTCTTTTCATTGTTTACATAATTTTGAACATTATTATCAGCTATTATTCAGCTGTCGTCTCTTTGGGGTTTCTTCGGGAAATTCAAAGTGTATGCTTAATTTATGGTAGTTCGCTCATTTAGTTTATATATCCGTGACTAGTCAGAGCTTGATTATGACAGAAAGTGATGCAGTTAACCGTTTTCGTGTTCCAAAAGGCGGTGAAGAGGAAGGTTAACTGCTCCCAAATCAATCAAGCGTTCCCAAATCAACCGTCTATGTAGTTTTTCTTATTTGCATTTCATGCTATGCATGAATCTAGACCTCCAATAAAAACGCATATATGCATTTTCACTGTATATCTAGATTCATGCTTGTGCGAAATACTGTTTTTATCGAGTATCTAGATTCATGCTTGTGATGAATACTTTCCCCTCATTGGCTGATTACCTCATTAATAATATACATGGAAAAATTACTCAGTTTTGATTGGTTATAACAAATGCAGTTTTCAGGTAATTCAGTGCAGAAGAGAGTTAATTCAGTGCAGGAGAGGGTTAATTCAGTGCAGGAGAGGGTTAATTCAGTGCAAAGAGAGAAACAAATCAGACATTCTGATTGGTCAATAATAAAAAAAAACTCGCAAACAGCCAATCAAATGCGAGCCTTGGATGTCGCAACAAAATTTGAAAATTTGAAAATTTGCGAGCGAAACAATGACCGGCGTTTGAAAAAATATGAAAAACAGCTTAAACAACGAAAACATTGTAAAAAGCACTGCTTTTTGGTTGTCCGTTTGGAAAAAGTGGTGTTAAGAGAAGGGAATTGCCGAGGAAATCGAAAATTAGGAGCCGACCCAGCTCAACACTTTGCTCGAGCAATCCAACGCCGAAATTTAAAACAAACATGGTTAAACCTCGGAAACGACGATTCCATTTCATTCGGACACAGACTGAACAATTCCTTGAACTGTTTAGCAGGACTTTGAACTTTTTTGCACCTTAAAGATGTGAAGATATCATTGCATATTATTGTTTTGATCGTACGCACGGTTTGAATAAATTATTTTTTGCATTTGATGCGCGTGCTTTGCTTATGTTTAATTAGGATAGACCATCTCGTATTTTTCCATGTATATTATTAAAACGTAATCACATAATTTTTCTCGTGCAATTTGGAATAAACAAGCACTTGTTAATTTTTCCAAAGACCACAAATTGCACTCGCCCTACGGGCTCGTGCAATTTTGTTAGTCTTTGAAAAAATTTACTGGTGCTTATTTATTCCAAATTGCACTCGAAATCATGTGATTACCTATACGAATAATCGATGCGTTTCATAATGAATGAAAGCCATATTGCGAAATAGTGGTCTCCTAAAACTTTGCAGGATACGTTTTTCGTGATCTAAAAACTCTTAGGTGCACCTAACCGAAACTAATTGTGTTGTTGTGGTTTTTAGTTCAGAAGGCCCTTGTACAATAATCGTTGACCCATGTCGTCGTTGTGCGAACTAATTTTAGCTCATCCTACGGAGAAAAATTTTGCAATATTCTAAAAAGATCTCTGTGAACTCAACATATTGAACGCACCATCTTGTACAGGAAACATATGTTGCAACGATGTGTTGCGACATCTTTCGGTAGACCCAAATGATTAGCAGATAATCTAATTTTTTACAAAGCATGCTAATATGTGGTATGGCTTTCAGTTTCGTTCTTTTTTAAGTGTCTAATTGTGTTTGTAATTATGCATGCTTGGCTGAAAGCATAATTGCGGTATCTGTAAACACTTCTGTGCGGTGATGCGGTGTTTTTTTTTTTCTCATCAATATACGGAGCCCAGTTAGTGCCACCTCGTATTATTCATTAACTTTTTTTTTCACGACTTCAACTTTTTTCTACAACCTCAACTCTCTTTTAAAACCTCAAGAAATTAATTAAGAACACAGTCGAATTTCAGAAGTAAAAAGGCATTTTATGACTGGGCTACCACAGGTATCCCAGTAAAAATGTTAAAGTGAATGATATCGTGATAGGCATTCATGCTGATTGACGTGTGTCGGAAATTTGATCTCTTGTAGATACAGCATTTGTTTCCCATTTTTTCTCATGTAAAACTTCAAGTTAAAGAAAAAAACCTAATGCATGCATCACCTGCTACTTTCGATATGCTGCTGTCATCCACAAACCTAACTTTATGTTGTCAGGTATGAGATGACTTTATCCCTTTGAAATTGATCTGAAAAAGACACAAAACACCAAATGTAAAAAGAGAACAAACCTGAATGCTTCTTTTTTTTATACTAAAAATCATTAAATAGTGAAAGACCCACTTTGAAAGAATATTTACCTTTCACTGAAACTAATTTTTTTAGTTGCTCCTGAGCTGAGCTTTTTTTTCTGGTCTAAATTATTTCGTCCTGTTTTTCGTTTCTGAGAGATATTCGAGAGCTTAACGATTATAATATGACATGGTATGGTAATTAATTTCGCCTTGAAATGTGTAGAGAGCCTGGGATTCGTTCCATATCTTGACGGTTCGTCACCACGACAATGGGATAATTCTAAAAGCTAATGCCCTGAAGTAAATTGGGTCCTTACTCAGAAGACAAAATCGAACCGAAGAAATTGTTTAAGTTCTGTGGCATCGTTTTTCAGCGTTTTTTTACATGCAAGTTAGTGCGTGGCTCGTCGAAAGTTAATTACTAAAAATGAAAATTATACTCTAAAATAGTTATTAATTAGGCGATATGGAGCAGAATTAGAGAAGTTTCTAATGCCTATTAGTTCGTTTTTATTGAAAGCCGTGGATTTGACTGGCCTTTTTTGTTAATCTATTGCACTTAGTCTGCACTTAGAAGAATGTGGAAAATTCTTTACGTCTATTGTATCACACATGCTAATTAACTTTACTACCATTTTTCTCAGCAATACTTCTCTGATAATGTAATGTTTCTCCCGAACTGAACTTTTAAGTCTTCTGAAATTTGTTTCCCCGCAATGTGATGTAGATATGTAAAACTGCACTGAAATCTAATTGTCTGTAAGGGTTTAAGTTTTGCGTGATCAGTTGAGTAAAATGAGACGATGAGGTTGTAGCTGACACTTAAAGAAGAGACACATCTCCGAAGAGAAGGCTACATTTTCATACATAACTGAATAATAAACTGCTCTTCTGCATAAAAAGCCCAAGACATCAATCTAATTCAGCTAGCTTACTGTTCCTCTCATGGGGACTCTAGATCTGGAGATCGGGAGATCCAGCAGTAAATCTAAGTTACGGTGTGTGTTTTTTCTCTCCTTTCTTCTTTTGATGGAAAAAATCTACAATATCTCTTTAGTGCTAATTTATAAAAATATTTTTGACATTTCTTTATTGTTGATCATTCCTCTACAATGCGCCGCCATTTAGCTTTGTAGCAATTACACTTGATAAGGAATCTAACTTATTTATCCGTTTTTCCCCTAAAAAGGATAGATTGAAGAAACAATGGTTATACGGAGGGCGGCCGGTTCGCTGATAATCTCCGCATTTTGGCTGCTTTCACTCTACTCCAGGTCACACTTTGCTGGTAGGCTCTTTTTCACGCCAAACATAACCTCTCAAAATGAAGGATTTTGAATCCTCTTACAAGACTGTTTGAATCTTCAGATGTTAGACTATTTTACGGTTTCTTTACCCTACATCAAATGAATCATACGTAGCCTTTCAACGTGAAGAATTTTCAATCTTTTACAAAACTGTTCGAATCTTCAGATGGGCACATAGACGATGCTTCCTACCTCACACGCTCAGAAAGAGTGGATGGCAGAAGGGAAAAGAGAGATCTTTCGACCTTTGAAAAGGTTTAATTTTAACTAGTCTTATTTTCTATCATTAATTTGTTTTCTCTATTTGCAGTTTCATTGCAGTTCCATTGCAATTTCGAGTAAAGTAGTTTTGAACTGGGGCTTGAAAACATACAACTTGTCTTGTTTGCGTGACAATAACATCAATAGGAATATTTTTTCTTGGAGCCTTAATGAGTGATGATCAATCATTTTATATCATGTTGTTACAGGGAGGTCACGTGGATACTGCCTCATATCGCTTGGCTGCTTTTGACAAGGACTGGACCCTGGATGTAAAACGAAATAAGTATGTTTTATCGTGCGTTTTATTTTCATATTTCTTGAGACGAACTTGCGAGCAAGAAAGGAGGACTGATTTATTATTGTTTGTATCTAATTCGTTCGTTTCTCCACTTTCTCCTTATTTTATTTGACTTTCCGATCATTTCTCATTTTATTGATTCACTAACTTATCTATTTATTCTGTTGAAGTAGCAGCGCTGTATCAATATATGTTTAACGTTTGCGGCGACCAAAAAAAATCTAGAGTCTCAAGTTCTAAGGGGCGTCGCTCCAAAACGCGGTTAACAAGGTGTTAGGGACTATTTTACAGATCGAGATAACAAACCAAAGTTGACTGTTTGATCTTTATTCTTGAAAAGCAATCAACCACGAACCACAATCAACGATGAAAAATCACGATCAATTGCACAATCAATCAATCTATCGATCGTAAACTGAAACAACAATGCAACGAAGCTCTATCAATATAATGAAATGTCGCGGAACGCATAATCAAAGAATCGCCTGTAAAGAACTGGGCCTAAACGTCGATAAAGAGATTAAAAATGACAAAGAGCAATGCAAATAAAACAGTACAAAGTGCAAAAATTTCTATACAAATTACAAGAATTTTAGGTGGCTGGATAACAGCCCATTGTTCTTATCTAGATGATGGGCGTTCACTTGCATTTGGTACAATTTTGGCCTTAAAATCTTAAATCAATCGCGAATACTGCAATACAACGGAATATCTGTTCGTATATTATCGCCCAACACTGAAAGGGTAGACTGGAAAAAACAAAATTACAAAAGTACTCACATATAGGTCCCGCTTGTGCCAAAGGTTGAGAAAACGAGAAAGAGCGAAAGTTTGCCAAGACAACTCAAAACTTAAGAAGAACTGATTAAGGGGATGCTAAACTCGTCTTTTATATGCGCGTAGTGACGCCGAAAGGTCCGATTACAAAACGAATAGAAATGCAGAAAAAACAGATAAACATTGTAACTATGTGTGTATCTAAGATCATTCTGAAATGAGTGAACTAATCAATAATCAATAATAAAAATGAGCCTACCGGCTAGTGTCCTTAACAATATGTCTATTCCTTTTTTGCCAGGGAACTTATTTCTCCATCTTTTGCAGTTCGTACATTTGCAAATGATGGGTCGGAAATTATTCAAGAGGTACAGTATTCATGCCCTTTTCTCGTAAAAGACTGCCTGTGGTGGTGGAAATAGTTTTCATGAACCAAAACAGCTATAGGAAGAGTTTTTTCTCCAACAGAGTCGACTGAGGAAAACACTTTAAGGATTTTGTCGACTGAGAATGATCATCGACTCTGATGACGACTTCTGCTAATGTTGTTCAAACGTCAGTCACCAACACAGCTAATAATCAATCCCTAAACTACGCTCTCCCAAACGATCAGGATACAGGATCGAAATTCTGTAGTGTTAAAGAAAAAAAACCAGACTCCATAGGGACCTTAAATTCTACAAAACGTATTGTGCCTGACAATATCATATTCAACCAGCATTTTTCTTTTGTATTTCTCAGGGTGTAGCTGATCATTGTCATTATCAGGGCTCCATCCGGGGTTTAAAGGATTCTTATGTTGTCCTTAACACTTGTTCCGGACTGAGGTACCGTTTTTTTCCTTTTTAACTATATAACTATGTAATATGTATTAATTCCCTTTTTGCCGTAGTTTTTTCGTAAGGAATAAGCAATGAGGAAAAGGAAAGAAGAAAAATAAAAAAGAGCTGTGAAATTTTTCCCTACAGAAAACAAAGTAGCCCGAGAGAAAAATTAGAAACCTTCCTTTATTCGATTATCTACTTCCTTCCAACGTGGTAATATGCAGTGTACATGCAGGGCAATGCAACGATCCCATATTTGCTACAAAAGGAAATTCATTTGCCACTCAATTATAAATATCATTTGTTCTCAACAGAGGAATAATAGATGATGGCCGTGAGACATTTTACATCAAACCTGAGATTGGAAAAGAAGTAAGTTAGAAGAAAGAAAATCAAAAAGCTGAAGCAAAATTATGCAGGAATTAGACCAGCTGTGAGAAACATCATGACCCTTTCTCCTCTCCTGTCAATACTTCCTCCAAACTCGATGTTTTCGTACACTCTCAGTCTCTAAGTTAACCTTGGTTTATATTCCGATAAAAATTTTCCTCAAATTCTTCTTTACGTAGTTTAGAATTTTCCTTGCCTTTAATTTCAGGAGCATGGAATTCACAGAGTTAGCAAAGCCAAAGAAGACGAATTTAAAGACATTGTCGATAAGTGCGGTAAAGGCGAAACATTTGCCTTTCATTTGAGATACTTTTATTTCATTTGTGCCTTCCATCTGAAAATTTTGCACCTATGTTAAAAACTAATACCTCGTGCTGAACTATAATGTCATGTATATAGAGTAGCTACTTACTTTTTGTTCTTAAAAAAACATCGCATTCCTGCAGGAAACAAGGAAACACAGGCAGACTCTCGTTCTACGAACGAAAATTTAGGCCCATTCTCACGGGTTAGTGTATAAGTTAAGATAAACTAAGTTCTTCATTCATATAAACTTCGTTTTAGAGAAATGAATAAGTAATTCAATATATAAATAAAGAGAAATACTTACTTTGGTTAATAAATAAATACAGATGGATATAAATTAACTAAAAAGTAACAAAAAGATATTCAAAGAAATGAACTTTTTTCCTGAGAAACAACTGTACAACTATATTATTGGATGATCAATATAATCAACAAATAAACAAATTGTATGACGGTATTAATGAACAAGAACCCTATCAGAGGACACGTTCTTTATAAATTGCGGGTTATCCATGAAAGTGTAGATGCACTTCAGTGAATGAATGAATAAGAAGATCTAGTCTGACCCAATACATAAAGATCTATAGCAAATCCTTAAGATATTTTCATCCGATAAAACCATCATCATTATCATCTTTTATTTGCCTTATTTGCACAAATTATTCGTCTTGAAACTGGGAAGGATTGACGAATGAGTGACTGAAACAGGAAGAGAGTTCCAAATTTTTAGACCATTGTGAGAGTAAGAGCATATCAATTCAAAAAAATGATGATGATTTGTGGTAATCAAAGATATTTGTTTACTTCTTTCATTTAGATAAGACGAAGCATATCGGGTGACATCGATGAATTCTACAAACCATTTCTGACAACAGATGAGACACGATACAATGAGCTCGCGATTTGTGTGGATTTTGAAATGGTTATAATTATATATTACTCTAAACTTTGACCAGCCCCTTTTTCTTGCCATGTTACTCACACGATTCGAGAGAAATTGCTGTACATTATCTTTTTTCGCTTATATAGTAAGCTGAATTGTACCCGCCTTTTGATTGGTTCTTCGTCGTGGTCTATTGGGGGACAAAAATAGAAGACGTCACCATTTAGATTCGCAAGGAAGATAAACTGTAATGTTCAAAGTACTACTTGATGATAATTGTTAGGGAGACTCGAAAGTATATTTCTGTCGCAGTCTTTGCTTAGAAAGTAAAGGTGTCCTCCATACGAAAAACACTTGAATCCAAATCCCAGAGTCTAAGATCTGAATAATGGGTCGTGAGAAATACAAATACAAACTGATAAAAAGCCTTTGTTTGTTTAGATTAGTCTGATGTGGTTTCGTTTAACAATACCTCGCCAATGATTGGTTTTCATGAAACAGTAGGAAAGGAATGTTGTATTCAGGCGAGAAGATCTTTATAAGCTAAATATCTCACTGTAATCATTAGCGTTAGAGGGCTAACTATACGCCAGGATTTATGATTTTAGGAAAATGTTTAATATATTTAGCTTGTAAAGGAGGTATACTGACTAAATAATAGCGATTCAAGTTTCTTGCGATTTGCTAGAATATCACTACTGATTTGAATTTCCTAAGATTGATCATGTCATCTTATTTCAACAGTACAACAATCATAACAATGATACCAAAGCTATCACAGACCGAGTTATTACTTTAGTAAATGCTGTTGATGCGGTAAGAAATCTTAAAACGTTTTTTGATTACTTTTATTTTGTCCCATTTATTTTTCGTTAAAAGTAAACACAACAGTTACAGATATCAAAAAGAACTTCGATTTAAATCGATTCTAAACTCCGAAAATATATATTGCGTTAAAATATTTCATTACAATATTTCTCTATTATTTTAGTTTTAAAAATCCAACTCAAAAAGGTTGCCTCTATCTCGTCCATGAATAGTGAAGCACTTTTAAAAAGAGAAATGTTTAGATTTATTAAAAGTATTTCATCTATTAAGGTGACATCAAACATTTCACAGCCTTTTTGAAATCGATTGGCGGAAGCATACTTGTATTAAACAAATGTTCCAGGGCTTGATGTAGCATCCTCTCTCAGCTGCATCTCTCCAATGTAAATATTTCCATGAGAATTGCATCATTTCAGGTGCACAGATTCGATTCAGATTTAGAAAAAAAGGTGGCTCTGAATCTACTTGATTAAAATTTTGCATTTTTAAATTTTTTTTCTTTAAAAATGAATGATTTTAAGCCACTATACATTTCATGTTAAAGCTTTAGGGCTTTGTTATAAGTTTGTTGTATATAATTGTTATAAGCAACCCTAAATTATTGTACTTATTGTCCGTTTTACAGATTTATCAGCGAATAAATATCAGGATAGTCTTAAAGGCGTTGGAAATCTGGACGAATGGTGATCCTTATAAGCGAGGGAATGACCGAGACCCAGAGTTAGTTAATTTCAGGAATTATCGCAACGAGAAATTGGTGAAAAAAATTCCTCACGACAATGCACAATTACTAAGGTAAATAATACCTCCTCGTCAAAGCAGTATTTAGCAAATTTGTATCGAAGACTAAATTTTCGAAAATCCCCGCGAAAAGAGTCAAATATATTTTCGGGATATCATCAGAAATACTGCAGTTTTTGGTATTTTATTTTGTTCTCAACAGATGGAAGGAAATCGGGCTTGAACTATCTAAAATTTACCTCTCGCGTACTTACATAAGTCAAGAAACAGAATCTTAGCATCAAAGCGGAGATGGTTTTAACAATTTTCTCACTTCGATAAAAAAAAAACTGGCGTCCCAACAAGGCGTGAACCTCAAAAAGAATAGGTAAGCTTGAAAAAAGGAGCGAAAAAGGATTTATCTAATGATCTAAACCTCGAATTTTTTTTTTTCTTCAGTAACAGAGGTTGGAAGGGAGGAACTGTTGGTTATGCATGGGTCAACTCAATGTGTGGAGGAAATTCAAATGGAATAAATTACGTAAGTTATGTAGCCAAGTAATTGATAAATAACGCAGCAGCCAAGTGTCTGCGCATGTGCGAACGTTGTAACAATAAATTTGCGTGCTTTCAGTAGTTTTCAACAGCCTCAGAAGCCAGTGAATCAAGGTCTTTTAAAAACGTACAACTTTTCCGATGAAGCTAAAAGAAATGGCATATTAACGGGACATTCGCAATCAAATAGCTTTTGAGTTTCGCTATTCAGATTCTTATGAACGTTTAAATCGACCTCTCGCGCATACCCGACGTATGACTGCTGTCATCTGACAAACTAAGGTTGCTTCTGCAAGTAAATAAAATGTTTCTGAAGTCTGTTCGCGAAATCAAGGAAGGTATCCCCACTAAACGACGTTGGTTCGCGCACGAACACGTTGTTCCATAATTATAAATACCTCTTGGTCGTACAGGAATTTAAAGCTCAACAGACATTTATATGGTAAAAAGGCCCCAGAATCAAGATGTGATGAGATTTAAGGCTGATCAGGAGAGGAAACAATAAGAGCTTACTGATTATACCAAGCATTGTCTTTTTGTTTGTTTTGCAGTGGTCTTATAGCAGTATCATTGGTCCTTATGTGACTGTTGCCCATGAAATGGGTCATAACTTTGGATTCGCTCATGACACAGGTGAAGATAAAGTACAAAGTACAAATTTAAGATATTAACGATCACCTCAATACTTTGGGGAACCCAGTTTGATCATGAGTAGCCGATTAAGATGTAAGTAGTGAAGTTGAAAATGAAATCTATGCGTCTTAAAATGACTATCAACTAAGATGTATGGAAATAACATTTTAATCAAAAAGCGTATTTTTCCCCACGCCATGACTCATTCTAATGTGGTATCATTTGTTAAGGGCACATCATGTGATGTTCCCTTGCATTTGTTCGATGAGATAAGTCTTAGGTATTGTTGTGGTTTTCTTGTAAACATTCACAAGATATTCCCGCAGAGATATTTTGTTCGAACTTGTTCATCCTCCACATTTCGTTGTCATCTTCATATTTTTTACTATTGATTTTCTCTCCTTTATTTTGTATGTTTGCAATATTTCGTCTCGAATTTAGGGACCTGCAAGTGCTTAACTCCGCGAGGCTGTATCATGGGAGGTCACAAGTATGTCATCTTACATGGAGATACAATTACATTTCTAGAATGATAATAATGTAAAGGATGTCTTATAAATTTTCATGACAATCTTGTTATTTTGACTATATCATTCATTCAATTTAGGTAGTCAGAGAACTCTTTCAAAAACTGGGTTTTAAGTTTGTGGTATCGGTCAAATGAAACATTAGCAAAAACAGATAAAGATGACGCAACTGAGGCCGTCCTCGCGTTTACCTAGTCTCACGTAAACACGAGGAAGGGGTGGGGATTTGAAAAAGCTATGGAAACGCAAGACACAGTCTAGGCTTTCGGGAACTATCTCTTCTCCTCCCCACCCTCCTCAATGTTAATATGAAGCTGTATAAAAAAGCGAAGAGTGGCTTTATTTCTCAACTATCATTGGTGTTTTTGTATATTTGTAGTACGTGCAGATGAACGTCGCAACCATGTTTACACACCCTTATCTGAATATACCTATTGACCAACGAGGGCGCACACGAGCTTGATTGATTTATTAAGTATAATTAAAGACACATTAGAGCTCAAACGACGACCTACCAGTCTTAAAACTTAAAACCTTGGAATATTGGTCATTAGTAGAAAGGAAATTTACACGTTTTTAATATTCTTATTTCTGCACTCTAAAAGAAACTTTATCCGATGACTCGACAAATTTTCTCGCAGGACCAGACTTCCAGGATTTTCAAATTGCAGTTTAACGTCGCTGCAAAGGGTTAACGATGCTTGCTTGTACAACGTGCCAACTTACAAGGTAACTGCTATAAATCGTTTCACATGCCAATCAAACAGATTTGCGCGCATTAGGATCACGCACACTGTTCTTCTTCCATTATGGAAAGATTAGCTGAAAATAATTTTTCTTGGTTCAGTATCACCCACAAAAGACAATCCTGATGACTCGAGACGCAAATATTCCCATACCAGTTCGCCTTGGATATTTTTAAGATTGCGGATACTGTTTGCACCACCTAACAACAAAAGCTCGCAAAGGTTTATGGGAGCGTCACAAATAAGGTTACTTGGAAACGCCAGAGGGGCAACAAAGTGCCTCCAAATGACTGTGACAGTTTCTATCCCAAATATCAAGCATTTAATGATTTCTTGTTCTTGTACTTGCACTTTCGAGCCTCTATGAAGATTTGTGATTCAATACGAACAACACCGGATATAAAATTCAAGTCTCCTACAAAGCGTCGGAGTAATTACATTGAAAACAGTCAACCGCCAGTGATACTGCTCCATGAAGACCCTCCAGTAACGATAAGAGTTTAAATTTGTTACACGTCGCGATTGTTCCAATTTTAGGCTGTCAACGGTTACTGTGGAAACGGCATACGCGAAGAAGGAGAGGAATGTGACTGTGGTACCCCTGAGGTTCGTAAATCAACATTTGAAGCATAACGTGCTTTTAAATTGCATAACTATACATAGCAACTAAATGGTGTTCGGCCATCGAAGTAGCTGAGGAAGAAGGTACCATTCCCTTCTTCAAAATTTACATTTAAATATACTAGTTATTTGTCTTAAGAAAACTCTTTAACCATTTTTTCCAGCTTCACGGGGTTGCCGAGGGGATTTAATTGCAGTAACGTACGTTTTATTGTTTAAATGACTTCTAAGAACTTTTGTTTTAATGTTCTCAGATGTGTGAGGCCCGTGATCCTTGCTGTGAACCCCACAATTGTGTTCTCAAAGAGGAGTCACAGTGCAGTGACCTACATCATTCTTGCTGCAAAAACTGCCTGGTAACAAGCTGATCAGTATTTAATTATATCTTGAAGGAGACAGCTAAAACTTCGTCTAAAAAAATTAGTTGAATTATAAACTGGATTAAATTTGAAAGGATTCGGATTCAACTGATTAAAGAAACGTAAAAAAATATGTCAAATCCAATAAGAAAGATGCTTATTTTGATTAACAAAAATATTTAAATATAAATTTTATCTAGAGATACAAAAGAGAACAGAAAAAATTATAATGTATGGTGTTTTACTCTTCTTTAGTTTAAGAAACAAGGAAAATTATGTCGCGCAGTCCAATCAGATTGTGACGTTCCAGAGTACTGCACTGGTGATTCAAGAGACGTAAGCACATTTAGAGATATGTTATCGTAAACGTCTTTCATCAGTCTTTGACGGGGCTATTAGGCAACACTGTAGTTGTCCGTTCGATTACTAGAGACAGCTATCCTTCACAAAAATAGGCGCTGTAATCGAAACAAAATTCGTGTATATTGACTTTAGTTAAGTTTCGTTAATTCCTGCGATGCTACCAGCTTTAAACATTTTTGAGCATGTAAACTAATGTCTCAGTAATACATGTAAAAAAACTCAGTGTAGGAGTTCTTGTTTTTGATGAGAGCACGTGGAATTTAGGTTCTGTCCTACCAGAGACCCTGTTATTATTATTATCTCATTATCATTAGCATTATCTATTTGTTTAACCTAAGAAATTTAACTGTTGTTTGCCTTTTAAACTGTTAGTGTCCAGAGGATTCTTACATCATCGATGGATATCCTTGTGACCAGACTAAAACAGTACGTTCAACAAACAGTGAAAGAGGAATATTATTTAGACTTTGTCATGGGCCTCTTCATTTCACCAATTTTCCAGAGCTGCCAATAGAAAGGAGCTCAGTATTCGCTACAAAATCTAAAGAGATTAGTAAATTTCATAATCATAGTCCGCGGTCTTCCTTCCCATTTCATGGTTTCTTCTTGCGTTTGTGTGTTCCTTTTTTAGAGGCTTTTCAGAAGGAATGCTTGATTGAGAAAAACCAGTGGTGCGTAACATTAAAAAAAAATTATCTGACTTACAACAATTGTAACGTATTTACATGTGTCCATGTGGTTGACGGCTAGAAGTCCATATGTCGGTTCATGGTTCATTTTTGTGTTATTTTTAGTGCGTTATCTCTTTCTTTTACAAAGTAACCATTATTGTTGTTATCATCGAAGGTAATTCAGGGAAACACCAACTACTACAGTATTAAGACAAGAGACTTGAACCCAAAAGTCACTGCTCGATATCTTCGTATCAATCCTCAGTACTGGAAAGGCTGGCCTTGTCTGAGAACTGATTTCATGGGATGTTCTAAAGATGAAGGTAAGAAAACGCTACAGGCTGATATAAATTTATATATAGCAGACAGTCAAGACAATTAAAACGAAAGTAAAGCTTCCCGTAGCTCAGAGCGTTCTAAGAGAAAGAGGAAGGAAATAAAAAATTCAAAGCTTGTTAATCAAATAAAATCTTTCTCTCGAAGTCAGTGTTTCATTGTAATTTTGTTTTGTTTTTCTGATTTTCTGCTTTTTTTTAGCAAGTCCAACAGAGCCGACACCACTGAGGTCTTATTACTTAAACCTTTGCCTCACTCCGAGAAGCAAGAATTGCAAACCAGATGACAACGATCTCTTAGAACATGCATCAGGTGATCTTTGCTTAGAAAGTCATTTTCAATTTACCCTTGGAGCAGACGGGGTGTTGCGCCACACTTGCAGTGGAAAAATGATTTGTCCTGAAAATGGCGGTACACGTAATGGCGTGAGGATTGTTGTCAGTAGTACCTGTACACTTGAAGACTCCAAATTTGAAAGAACTTCAGGTAAGAAATAAAGAGGGTCGGCATGTTTTTCATACAAAAAACGAGTAGCGATTGCCCAAAAAGGTTCGTGTAAAATTTGATGGACTTAAGCGAGTCTTCAGAAAAGAAATATCACAATCTGTCTATTTCAATCGCCCCATATTGCAAGAAGGTGTGTCGTTCAACGCAAAGTTTTAGAAAATTACCAAAACTTAGTTATAAATCCCAATTAGGAATGTATGCAATCGAATGATAAGCTTCTTATTTTACAAGTTAAGAGAGTCTTTTCTATATTTTTCAGTTTCTTAGTCTCGTTCGTCCCCTCTTAAGTGTCACTTTATATATAAGGAAAAGTATTTTGTCTGAGTTCCTTATCTACTAGTAGGTAATGAATTCTATTCATTTTCTATTCAATAGGGCGATCTCTTAAGCACGTTAAGTCTGGAAAATGCCTGCACACTACTGGTGGGTGGCCTGGAGCGGGTAGATACATGGTGTTATATTTTGGATGCGACGAGGGAAGGCTCGAACTGTGGTTTGGAAAACAAGGTACATATTTTTTAAATCAAACATGGTATGTTAAGGTTGTCTTGTAGGAGAAATGTTCCACTGAGGGCTACAACGCTAGAGCCCAGAAAAAGGAGGCCTCGTGCGAACAGTGATCATTTGGAGTGAGTGAGCAAGACTTTACCTTCTTCAGTGTCACTGTTTCTACCCCCTCTCCCTCCCGGAGTACAAGTGAGTAGACTGACATCAGGCCCAAAAGCAACTTTTGTAATTACTCCTTGCTTCAGAAAGCATGGAAAATTTCATAGGAAGTTTTCGTTGACGAGCTCTAGTACCTGTATCGTATAAACTAGAGTGCTCCCATGATGCCTCACAATATGACTTATTGTCTTCTACTCGAATCCATGCCGCACTGAATGTTGTTTTGTTAGTTTTTGTTGCCGTCTACTTTGCCTCCGAACAAAAACATCAACTTTTTCCATTTATAAAGCGAGCTATTTGCTCTTGACGAGTGTATTTCTTTGTTACATGCCTAGCGTAAATTATGAAGTTAATTTAATTATTATCAATTATATAATAAGCTCAGTTATGCACGCATTCTGATTGGTTCTCACTTGTGATCTATTGGAAGACAGACATATAGATGACGTCATCATTAAAACTTTTTTTTAATTCTTTATTATATAAAACAAATAGATTCCAAGTTGCCGTGCGTCTGATCAGTAATAGATCACAGAGGACCTCAAAATGTGGTAAGAACATCAGTGACACACTCGGCTTCGCCTTGTGTGCCACTTTTTTGTTCTTACCACATTTTGACGTCATCTGTGATCTATTACTGAACAGACGTACGGCAACTTGGAATCTATTTGTTAATTATATAATAAGCTCAGTTTTGCACGCATTCTGATTGGTTCTCACTTATGATCTATTGGAGGACAAACGTATAGATGACGTCATCATCATAACTTTTTAATTCTTTTTATATAAAACATAAGTGACACACTCGGCTGCACCACGTGTGCCACTCTTTTTGTTCTTACCACATTTTGACGTCATCTGTGATCTATAAACAGACGCACGGCAACTTGGAATCTATTTGTTAATTAATATTTCATTATACGAATCACTTAATACAAACGTATGTTTGAATAAAGGCCTTTGCTAAAGACTAGTGGAACCCAGAGACACGATAAATATCGCGCTAACCTCGTTTTCTCGGTCCCTAATGTAAGTAATAAATTCTCATTTTTTTCTCTCGGATTTATGGCCTGCTCGCTTCATAGTCAGGTCATTAATTCAAGTTCATAATGTACAGTGCGGTCCTCGACTTAAGAGGTATGTACACGATTAATGTGTATGTATTTATTCCATATCGTAACATGTTTTATCGTTCTAGATTGTGTAGAGCCACTCGGAATGCAGAACGGAGAGATCAAAGACAGCCAGATCACTGCTTCCTCCACCGGAAAGAATGAACCTGCTTATAATGCAAGGCTCAATTTAGAGGGAAAAAGTTGGTGTGCTGCAGAGAAGAGTAAAAGCGAGTATTTACAAGTTGATCTTGGAGAGGTATACATATTTGTTGTAATAAACGAAGTTGTTGTGTTTTCCACTTAAAACACATAATAATAATGGTGGCCATTTATACAATACTACTGGATCTGAAACTGTTGCCTTAGTTTTCTGAAATTAGGTTCATTTTCTTTAGCTGAGGTTGAAGTGTATAAATGTTAATATCTGCTTTGGAATTCATAAATTCCTTTTTCCGCTCTCAGGAATTGTTGGTCAAAACGTACAGTCTCACCACTGGCTACATTGGGACACTGATCCAGTCAATCTAAAAAAAAATGGTTTTTGGTGTAATGCCAAGCATTATTGGCGATGAGATATAGCCAATATATCATTCTAACCAGCGTGCCGCTAATTTCTCTAAGCATCAGAAATACGGTAGTGCTACTCTTTTACGACTTATAAATGTTGCCCAACGTTAATGACATCTGGTCGGTAACAAATTTTAGTTTCAGCACAACTTACTTTCCCGGCTTCATTGAGAAACTGACCGGGTTCAACAACAAGCATTATGTATGATAAAATACAGTCAATCTTATATTCTGGTTTGCTAGCTGTAAAAATTTTCCCAAGCGTACCAGCCACTTTAGTACGCAACAGTGTTAACCTTCAACGATTTCATCTTCTCTTGCCTAACAAAAATTTCGCCCAAAATTAGAGACATGATTATGGCTGCACTTATGTACATTATTTTTGGGTATTCTCATAATTTTTTAGATCAAAACTGTCAGCAAAGTCCTCATACAGGGAAAAGGGACCTGGTGGCACTGGGTGACTGGCTTCTTCTTACACTACAGTGATGATGGTCAGCGGTGGGCAAGTTATTCTGAGAGTGGGGACAAACAGCACTCTAATGTATGTCATATGTTCATTAGGAAATCATTGTTATTTGTCATCTTTTTCTTTAAAAAAGAAAAAAATGTCTATTTCTTTCTTAACTCAGTCCCACTGTTATCTTGGCAAGTGCAGCGAAATTCTTGAAACTCAGTGCAAGGACTTATGGGGAGCTAGTAAGTACCTGTGACTATGTTGAGCTACACTTATCAGCTTTATCGATTGCAATGTAGTAAATAAAAAAGTAATCCTCATTCCATCTAATCTAATGGTTTATGAATATGACGAAATTCTCCAGGTCCTTCAATGCGCAAATGGTTACCATCTGGTACAATAGCAGATACAAGTTCTATAGAATATTACGTCTTTAGTCAGTCAAAACCTACGGGAGAAAAAAGACATTAGCCCTGAGTGCTCAGCAGGGGACTTATATTAACCAACCCATTCACTAGGTCACACTTCATCAATGCTTTTATAATTCGTAGAAATATAGATTAACCGTGGTATTGCAGCCTCTAACCTTCCGTTTTGTGTCTTGGATATCTAGAGCTTCTCCGTTATATATCATTTCCTTTTTGTATCATTACTTTCTTTAACTTCAGCCGCCCAAAGCGCTGATCAAGGATGCTACGAAAAACTGAACACTGAGGCCGCTGGATACGGTACATGTGATCCAGCAACCAATTCATCATGCGCTGCAAGGTACACCGTGCACTTTATAGTTAGGCATTTGCGAGAGGAGCACCAAAAAAAATTTACGGAGAAGAAAGTCCTGGGAACTTTAAAATCAAGCTCCGCACATCCCCTGGAAAAAGTAAACAATTATTTAATTCTTCTTTACGGGAAAGTCTCACTGCAGCACTATATTTTGAATAGAGGATAGTACATGGGCGTGCTTAGATGTGGTGTTTTCTTTGGGTGTTTAACTCGATATCTTACGAGTGAGCGCAGCGAACGAGTGGGATATTGAGTTGAACACGAGAAGAAGAATTACTTATCTATAAGCAAACAATATATTATCCTATTATATGAACATAATTGGCCTTTATTGACAAGGAAAATCAACTTTATGAATTAACGAAAACAAAAATAAGGTCAACAATTCATGAAAAGAATTCCTAAAGCGCGCGAACGACAAGGCTCAAGATGAAAAATGCGTTTAATCAGTACAAAAACAAACAATGTGCATAACTTCTAATTTACAAAATTCTCGGTTACCGTCTTTTTCCTAACCAATAGAAGAAAACTACTCAATTTAACGGCCAAAATCGGCCTGTGCAAAATCTCCCAGCTGCAAATTTTCTTCCTCAGCTAGGTGAAATGTCAAGTAAACGCAGAATATCAAACTGAACCATCAATGTTCAGACATAACTGGCTAAATTGAAATTTTTGATGAACGAATTTCTTTCAGTGACGTCTGTTGCGGCCAACTACAGTGTGAGGACAGCAAAACCAAACCAGTTGTTGACTATGGAAGGTCATATACCAAAATACGTTTGGATGACGGGAATGAATGCAGGTCTTTATTGTTTTCTGTGTTTCTCTTATTCCCTCCTCCTTTTTGTTTCCACAATAGCTCTAAGCTTTATAAAACAGTGAGATATAATGATTTTTCTGGTTTGAGTCTTACCAGACTTCAAGAAGCTTTTAATTGTCTTCCGCTCAATCAACTCGCCCAAATCCTAAGTAAGATAAATTGCAAAAACCGAAAATTTGCCTGCAGCAATTTTGTTGTAACTGTGTACGAACGTAAGTAGCCAAACGTAGTTTTACTTCTTCCAGTGCTGCAGTCTTGAAGTTAGATGACGAAATCGGTCAAGGAATGGTTAGGGAAGGAACAAAATGTGGAATCAATAAGGTACAGTACAATCGTTAATTAAGAACTATATGTGACAATTTTTTTTACTGGTAAAATACCCCTCCTGATTCCCAAGTTCTTCGGTGACGAGATGCTAATCTCTGAAATTATTTTTTGGTCAACCTCCCCATGTTAGTATGTGTGTCAATCGATATAGATACCATGTCTGTGCATTTTCGTTATAACCTTGTCAATAACGGGTTGGTTCATCAAATTTCACATGTATTTAAGATGTGCATCGATTACAAGTGCCAGTCATTTGATGATCTCGGTATCAGTGTCCGCTGTCCGTCGGTCAACAACGAGGAGTGCGCAGGAAGAGGGGTTAGTAATTAATATACGAGAATTTATAATAAATGTGACAATTCACAATACTACAGTATTTAGAAGCTTTGTTAGGAAAATATCCGTCGAAAGAATTTAAGTCTTAGGTGGCAAACAGAAGGAGGTTAATTCGCATGGAGCAATCCCCTTTTCTCATTCGAATGTGATTTTTTTCAGATCTGTACTAACAAAAAGGAATGCCATTGTGAGGGAGGATTTGATCACAGAGACAGTTGTAACTCAGGTGAGAGTGAAATGTTCCTCTTGATTCTCTGGCTATATCTGGTTACAATACCTTGATTATTATGATTGTTGCGACTCATACTCACTGAAGAACTGTTTGTGCAGAACTTATACCTCGTGATGGAGCCTGGGGTGACTGGTCCTCATGGACTGAGTGTGATAAGGGCTGTGATGGTGGAAAGAGAAGAAGACATCGGTTCTGCAACAATCCCTTTCCCCTACATGGAGGAGCTGACTGCCCAGGAGAACGACACGAAAAGGAGGGCTGCAACACAGAAAGTTGTCCTGGTGAGGGCAAAATGTTTAGTTTACTTTCCTCTTGAACCTCAAAATAATTTGAAGCTTTGCGCTCTGTAAATCAATACCCCTTCAGCATGAAATAAGCCATTTGAGTGGAAAATGGCCAAAAGTACCAGATAGCAAGTACCATCTGATCCACAGTGTTTTAAATGACGGAAATGGCCTCACTGTCCCTGGCTTATGGTACGTCGTAGCAATCATTCACATACATAAACTAAATGTTGTACTGTGACGTCAATACCACTGTTTTTATTTTTATCTTTTTTCAGTGGTAATTTCATGCCATCACTTACAGCAAGTTGGGAAAGAACAGAATCATGACTATCCTGATGGTGTCTACAAGATTTACCCCACAGGCCCTCAGCCAATCATGGCATACTGTGATATGTCACGTGATGGTGGGGGATGGACACTTTTGGTCACTAGTCACACCAACGGCTGGACGGCAGAAAATGTGAGGTTAAAAAACTCGAACTCTCCAAAGCTTACTAATGATTATTCCATCCTGCAGTATGCAGATAGTATTAAGGATAACATCAACGTGGCTGGATCCAAGTTTGAGTATCGACTAGAGGCGCAAAGTCCAGGTAATGTAAAGATGGCTGTTCATATTCGAGTACTGAAGGCAGCTCTTAAGTTTGTATCGTCCTTTGATGTGGTCACTAATAACACTTTCCAAAAATATTATTTATCACATGCAATTAAACTTATGGGATTTTAAAATGACTTTTCAAAATTTTGAATGATTAAAAGTGGGGTATTCCAACGGGCCGAACGCTAGCCTCGAGACATTCGGGTTAATGAAACATCTTCAACATAGATGAAATCAGAAAAAAGTTACCAACAGCGACCAGGACTTGGCATAGTGAAAACAGACTGTTATGTTTTCAGGGACTTAATTGTTTGAAGTGATATTTTGTAGACCGTTGGGGAGGTGTATGGAAGGCTCCAAGAGGTTACACTTTCACCGCTGAGGACAACAAACAAACAAGAGTTGAGCTTCTCAAGAAATTTGATAATTGGAAATATGCAAACAGTGGTATTGAACGAAGAATACCATGGATTTCCGGAGCAAGGTTAACAACCTCAGAAGATGCTTTTTACAAATGGGAAGGAACAATAACAGGTACAAGTCACGAAACCGACTCTTATAGTAAATATATTTTTCATCTTTAGAGTCTTTTGCGCACATGCCAAGATCTCCAAGCATCACTTTTTTAGATTTAGTGAAGCAATTTCTGAGTTTATCGAGGTGGGGTTTTTGCTAAAGTTTATCGAACTATGTTAAGGGAGCGAATTGACAGGTGCAAAAAAAAAAAAAAAGAAAAAAAGACCATCGCAAAAAGTGACCCAAAAATCTTTTAAATCTTTCACCAATTGAAAATGAATAGGGTATAATTGCCAGTGTATACGTGTCATGTTTCAGGTGATGATAAAGGTTATCATCCCGCTCCTTGGATCAAAGGTCACCTAATGGAGCATCAGCCATCATATATCTGGTACTGGATGAGAGAAGGACCTTACAAAGTCCCTAGTTCTTGCAAAGAAGTATACTTCAGGGGGCTTTTGTCAAAGTCAGTGTCAGGTTGGTCAATTTGCTTGCCCTGGAATTGGCGAACATTTAAAGTAACTCAAAACCCTTAAAGAGCACTTAGCCCTTACAATTTTTTTCGCATATTTTTTAAAGGAAGTTGCGGTTTCAAACAAGACTTATGACTTCTGTGAAAAAGACAACATCTGAAAAGTGACGAGATTCATTCACCACTTTTGTGGTGCTTTCTCTTACAAAGTTACAATTTTTGTTTTAGAATTTCGTGTTTTGCGTCGCTGGGATGACCTAGTCATGATACTCCCTTATCTCCTAACCTAAATCACCAACTGGTTTAAAGTATGGTTATTCTTTGGAAAACTATATTTAGGTTCAAGCGGCTCATTAAAGTCACTGCCAGTGGAACTCACTCTATAAGTATCAATTATTACTGGTCTAGACAATTTCGTTACCTCTATGCTTGAGGCTTCGAGTTTCCCAAGTGAATACCTTTTTTAAAAGCCTAACAAAATTAAAAATGAAATGTCAGCCGCCGGTAACCTGCTACAATTTTTTCCTTTTCTGATACCGAGCTGAATTGAGAGGTGCTGGAGCAGTTCATAACTGGGTGGCAATAGTAATCCAGGATGCTGTGGTCTTGCTCTACTTCGCTGAGTGGTTGGTCCACAAAACTCGCTTTACTTTCTCTACTAATCTAAAGCTCTTCCTCGATCTATTTTGTCTTTGACTGATATTTTGTTTTTAATTTTCCAGATGGCGTATTCTCAATCAAACCTCCTGGACAGCATGAAGTCAAAACGCTCTGTGATTTCACAAGCGAAGGAGGACCCTGGACACTACTTGTGACAAGTAAGAACCACCGGGGGTGGGACGAAGACAACATCAAAGAAAGAAACTCAGACAAACCTTCCTTACAAGACGACTATTCCATACTGGGGCTTGCAGACGCCATAAAGGACGCTGACAAAGCTCAGCTAGATCAATGAATCTATAAAAATTTCGTTATTTTCTTGTTTAAAAAGCCGACTGAACCCAGTGGTCACCCTAACACTGAAGAACGCAATCAAAGTGTTAAGTCCGCTATAAATGAAAGCTAATATGTCATACTTTCCTAGTTTCAGAGCTCTCCTTTAGTTTTCGTTTGCCTTACAGGCAAACCATAAATATTTTTAGGGAACTTTTGTCATTGTCTGAGACAAAATGTCACAAGAACTTTTGCTTTCGACAAAAGTTTGGCAGATCCCCAGATTAATACTGTCTTTACAGTGGACGGTTGGCTCGCTATTGTTTTCCTCGGTGAAAAACCCATAGGGGAGAGTTTCACTTTGAATCATTAGCTTCAATGCTTTTTTTTGCAGTTTTCTCATCACTTATTTGCTTTAAACAGGAATTATTTCAATACAGAATTGAGGCCGATGACAAAAGAAGCTGGGGAGGGATATGGGAAGCACCACCTGACTACACATTCCTAGCTACCAGCGACGAACAAACCAACGTGAGAATTGTAAAGAAGTTTGACTCTTGGGATGAGAAGAGCAACTTAGGAAAGCGCATGCCCAGACTGGGATTATCTAGCGATCTGTTATTAACCAGTGCATCAACTGTGGATGAACCTTCAGGGTCCTTGGTGTATAACAGTAGCGCCAGCTCCGCCTCGTATCTACAGCAAGAGAAGCCAAACCCGCGTGTCGTGAGATACTGGATGAGAGAAGGAGCGAGGTAAATTCTGCATGCTATAAATGTTTGTTAAAGTTCTTCTCAGGATTTATTGGCAAATTTTTTTGGTGATTTTTTTTTTTTAAGACAGGCGTATGATGTAACGGCTGTAAATGGTGGAAACTGGTAAAAGCTATTTCAGGTGTTGAGCGTTACCCTCGTGTATTATTAATAGTGTTTCAAGCAATGTCTGTTTTGCAAGAATAGTCAGCCAACTTCATTAAGGTTATTTCATGATTAACATGCATGCTGATTGCAGTAATATTTAGGGACAAATTGTCCACACTAATGGGAACCAGTGCAACTTGGCTGTCTGCTAGAACAGTAGATCATACCGAATTTTACTTTACAGAAACTGTTTGTATAACTTTTACTTTTGCACTCTTATTAGGCTGTCTTGCAATGACCACAAAATACATGGAGTGAGAGCTGGTATCAAGTACGAAGAGGATAGTTTCCAGCTGATTAAAGTCAGTGATACCCAGTATCTCCCGGTTTACTGCGATATGACAACAGCTAAAGGAGCTTTCACTCTTATTGTGACGAGTGCTCACAACAATTGGACCCGGGAACAGGTCCCTCGCAGGTAACATAACAAGGGTGAAGTTTTTTTAGGCTCACGAAAAAAGTACTAAATATATTTTCACCGAAATTGCACACACACCGGTACCTTGGAAAAAAAAAATTGATCAATGTCTCGAGATGTATTCTATTTTTTTTTGTTTTCTTTTTGTTTGGGTGGTTGTATTTTTTTTGCTTGATAAAACAGTTGTTGTTTTTTTGTAAAATTACGTAGATCTGTTTCATGTTTCATCGCTTCAGTAAAGAAACAAGCTTATTACATTCCATATTTTATTATCCTTGGTTTGTCCATAGTTGAAGGACAGTCCACGTCTTTTAAACAGTATGAGTCTCTTTCCTTGATATTTTCAGAAATGAACTACATCCAGGGTTGAACCGAGACTACTCAATTTTAGACTTAGCAGATGGTATTAAAGACCTCAGTAGTAATGGAACATTCCAGTACATGTTGGACGCTAATACTCGGCGTCATTGGGGAGGGATTTTTCAAGCTCCTACTTCCTACAGGTTGGATATTGACAAAGATGTTTGAAATTATCTATAATGACGCTTCACGTGAGTAATTTTCACGTGAGTAATTTTCAGTACATATATTGCTCAAAAATATGTTCATGTGAAGCTTAGGGAGCGATGATGCAAACTATCTGTCCTCCGGTCAGCCATTCACAGATGGCAAACTTTCGTGGTTGTGTAAAATGGTAAATCATCATGTAAGGAAAGGAGCCAGGCACTAAAATAGATATTTAGGTTTATCTGCTTTCGTATTCGGTTTTAACACTTCAAAATTTCAACAATTAACTTCAGTCCACTCCATTTAAAGAATTTTTTATCCGCTGGAATTCTTTGACTTTCAATAACACCATTGCTCCCTAACAAATCGTTCAGAGAAATTGTTTCTGAAGGCTTCATAAAAGAACTCTGGACAAAATATCTGAAAAAATTATCAGGGATTTCATCAAAATACGCATCGTAATTTTGGGACTTAAACAAAACATCTGCTGCAGGTCAAATTAACTTAATGTGTACTACATCTCAATTCAATTTGTATCTTGAAATCATAATCAGGAAAAAATCATCTTAAATTAGTTATTTCGAGTCTTTTAATTACCAGCTTCATAGCGGCTGAAAATACGCAAACAGGCTAGGAGTAAAAGTGATAAGAAAGTTTAACGATTGGGAATTTTATTGGAGAAACGCCATAGATCAGAGAATGCCGTGGTTTGACGCCAAAGGAACTTATAAAAAAGCCTTGCTGACTACATCCAGTAGTCCTACCTATTACCCTGCGGGTTCTATCATTTGGGGGCGGCACAAACCGACACCCAGCAGGTGATCTCTGTATTCACATACTCGACCATTCACTCACGTGCGTGTATGCGCACTAACGCTTGAACGCAGGCACGCACGCACACATTCACCCACCCGCCCGCCCGCTCGCTCGCTCGCTCATTCACTCACTCGCTAACTAGTTCAATTCTTCTGTGCTTTTTTTAAGCTTCATGGCCTCGGATAATACACAAACCAAGGTCAATTTAACGAGGAAATTTGACGATTGGAAGTTTTCCTGGTGGAATTCGTTAAACAAGAGAATGCCGTGGTTTGACGTCAAGGGAACTGAGAACAAGGCTCTGCTGACCACATCCAGTAGCACGACCTATTACCCTTCGGGTTCGATTATTTGGGGGGGCCTGGACCGGTATCCGTCCGATTGGATTTCGGCTAAGGGAATGCGAAATCCTGGGGTGATCTGGTACTGGTTAAACGAGGACGACTGTGACAAGGATAGAAAACCAGGTAGCAAATTTATTTATTTAGCAGCTAGCAATTTGGGACACAAATTCTCTAAAATAATGAAAATTGTCATTTAATACTTGCGGAAAAATTTGAGCTTGATCACAGGATTTCATTCAACGTTTAACTTAGACGTTAACTAAGCTTTTAACTAATGTTATTTTGAAAGTGTGCATCGTAATCTTTACCAATCTCGATGTTTCATAGTTGATGGCGGATTAACTGAGTGGGAAAAATGGAAGAGATGCGACAAGTTGTGTCAGAAGCAAAGAAGGTTCAGAACATGCACAAACCCCAGTCCGCAATGTGGAGGAAAGCGATGTGATCCTCTTATCGCTACCAAGGAGGAAAGGAAATGCATACATTGTCCTGGTATAGTAGTATGAATGAACTTTATTTCAAATGATTCTTACTCTGGCGTCAATGGGAAGTGACCTTGACACAGAAATTTGAAAAAAAAAAAAAAAAAAAAAAAAAAAAGAAGAGCGGTAGAGTAAGGCATCCATGTTCGTATCACTGTTACCTAATTATTACCACTATCACTTTCATGTTGGCTGTACACTAAAAAAAAAATTAAACCAACTTATTTCTTGGGTAGAAAGAAATTCTTCCTTCCAAACACGATCAAATACCCTTAACTTCCCATGCCCCACCCCTCCCTCCCTCCGTCTTCGCCTTAAGGCCTCCCCTCACAGTCTACGTACTTTAAAACCAACCTTAAACTGTTGGAAAATAATTAGTCGATAAATTGTGGATAATTTTCACGAACTGACATGCAGTAAAAAAACTATTATTTATAATTGATTTTAGAAAGTGGAATTCGAATGTACTATAATTACTGTGTGGCCCCAAATAAAGGAGGCTGTTCTCCTCCTGATGGCGCTTACCTCATTGCAACCAAAAAAGAAGGCACTTCATGTAATGCGATTGATCAGATTTTCATTCTGGACGAGGACGGAGTTATCCATCACAAGTGCAGCAAGAAAGTCATCTGTCCTGAGGGTGATTATTTGCTTTCAATATTCTGTCACTGTTTTTCTCTACCTTTTTTAATTCAAGTTTTGCATTTTTCTATCGCCCGTCAATGCGACTGATCCTATGATTTGATGAACGTGACACTGAGCGATGCTATTCATTTCACTTCTATCAGTTAGGATGGGAAATTGCTTGACATCGAATGCACTTTGTGATAAAGGACACGGGAGATATCCTAAAAGTCTGGAAACCCTTTAAAACAAATTCACGAGCTCTTCATTCTATTGTATTGGTATAGCCTGCAACGGCGTGGGAAATCCTCCTCGGTTTTGTCTGACTTGGTGATTTTATACCATAACTATGACAGACAGACCAGTATTTATGCCATTTCAGTATTTTAGAAATTCAAAATTTTTATAAACTGTTTGTCATGAAATAAAATTTGAAGGGACGGTGCGACGCAAATCTCGAATCACTTTGCATAACCTCATCGACCAATCAGGAAATAGGTATTCCGTTGAGTACCTCATCCACGTCTTTATCATCATCGTTATTATTTTAATCATTTTCATTTTAAAGGAACGATTAGACCAGTAATGAATAGCCTATTCTTTGTTCTCTGCAGGCAATAACCCTACTTATGGCAGAAAACTTATGTTGAAGGACAAATGTGATCTGGACATTTCCAAGCACGAGAGGTGTGTTCAGTAACCTTTTTTGGGTCCATTTCATAAAATACACTCTGCCCGGCAGACTAGGCCTTTATACGTCAGTTTTTTGTAGCCATCTCGGCCCATCATCTTCAGCCTTTCTCGTTTTAGATATATAAAAATAAATAAATAAAGTTCAAACATTTTGAGGGGTGAAGAGACGAACAAACATCAGCATTAAATCGATAACTTCTTTAGTGTACCAAGTAAAAAATTATGTCAAGTCACGAGTCATTTGGTAGCTATCAGCCTCTACTGCAGTCAATATAAAAGGAGTACATCCATCCCTAGGAAATTCACTTCTTATTTTTACTTTCGTTCACTTGGTTTTTTTTCATTCTTTATTATAAAAATAACGAATTTCCCCCATTACTTCTCAATCTTTTTGTAACAAATAGCCAAATTCACTGTTATGGTACATTAACAGCCAGTAATTATCGAATGTACTTGTGTCGCACACTTATCAAGTAATTTAAAATTCTCTATTAAGTGCCAAAAATTTGAAACCCTCCTCCTGTTTCAGTCTCGTTCGTCAAATCTTCTTCGCTTTAAGAAGAAAATGAAAGAGGGCTTTACTTAAATAATCACTGAATTAGCCAAGCCGCACATTCGCACATTCTTATCTAAATACGTTATTGTAAGTGAGGTGGCCTCTCCCATAAGGCCGATGGTTTCCTGGGTCTCCTCGCCTTCTATGAATTATAATGCTAAATTTTCTGTATTGTTTAT